TTGTCTAACATTTTAGGCTTAACAAAATGTGACCTGATTTCAATGAAAATGATTCACTTATGTAAAAGTACATATGATGTCTTGTGAAAAATCTGTACGTGATGGGAAAAAATGGATATCATTTTAGGATTCAGCGTACAGGAATTGCTGTAGAACATGTAAAAATTTCAAGATGATAAAACCATCGCAGACCTGTGTAATCTTTCCATGTTAAAATGTGAATTTAGTTTTTTCTTTTCTGCAGAATACTAGATGGCAGCACTACACTCACTGTAACTAAATGCGTAATTGCATGAAATCATTTCTACTTGCCGAAAGCTCTGGTTATCTAGTCTTTTATTAATGGTTCACATACTTTTGGATCCCACGCATTAATATAAAATGCTATGTAATATTGTGCAGGCACTTATGTTTATGTATACTTTGGGTAAGATTCATAGTCTTAGTCTAATTTGTTTTTAAAGTAAATCACTCTATCTTCTATGATAATTAGTAATGACGTAATTATGATTATAATTTCACCAATGAACATATATATCATTAGAAGTTGTTGTAAGTAAAATGTGTAGGCTGGGCCAAGTTCACTAATAATTGTAAAATATATTTGATAACTTCTCAAACTCAATTTGTTTTTATTTTTTGTGATAAAATTCTAATCAAACAACACTGCTTGTGATCATTATTTAACTACATGGGGTACTTAATTTGATACAGGCCTCTTCTTTTTAAACAAAAAATCTTGTCTGCTGTACTTTCGTTACTCAAAAACCTAGTCGTTGGTCTAAACTCCAAGAGTTGGCGGTGGGTGCATTTGACTAGGTACTTTCCCTTTGTCCATTAGTTGAAAATTAGGGACGACTTGCGCAGATAGCCTCCTAAGTAGCTTTGTGCAAATATCTGTGCAGGCTGTGTAGGCTGGTGATACTGATAGGTGAATTGTTTGAGTTAGACTTCCATCTGGTGGTTAGATTTGTTAGCAAGCCTTCAAGAAATAAGTACATGTACGACATAGTGGAGCGGGATAGTCCAATATTTTTACCAGAATTGCGGATTTTTGACAAAAATGCCCAAATCTGGTACAAATATTCCATTTGATTTCTTGATCAATTTCAGATATGGAGAAGCGCGAAATTCATGCGTAAACGGTTTCAATCTTATTTCCAAGAAGTTAAAGTAAAATCCGACTTACTAAAGTAAAGTTGTGTAGTTTTGTGTATAACTTCATACAAACAAACAAATTTTGAAAAAGTGTTCATTGTTCGCTTTGGAAAAGTGTTCACAGAGAATTTCAAAGCATTGTTATTTTCTTCTTTGAGATGAAATTGATTTTACTTTTATTGATGCCCCCCAGTGGCTCAGCGGCAGGTCTGTTTGCTTATAACGCTAAAAACCCGGATATTGATATATACCCATGGTGGGCACAGTACAGATAGCCTATTGTATACCTTTGTGTTTAACAACAAACAAATAGACTTTTATTAATTTAAGTCAATAAAATGGCAAAACGAGTGAAACTCTTTGACATTTCAAATCCTTATAGTTCAAGGTTAGTGTTTACACTAGTCACCGACTTAATTAAATGTTGTATTTGTCAAATGAATACGGAAAACCTATAATATACCCGTCTGATTTTAAAAGGCTAAATGTCGGCGAAGAATATAGGTCGTTTCCCAAAAATATAAATACACTAATAAATAGTTTTAAGGCAGGGGACGCAGGATATAGGTCCTTTGCCAAAAATATAAATATACTAATAAATAGTTTTAAGGCAGGGGACACAGGATATAGGTCCTTTGCCAAAAAATATAAATATACTAATAAATATTTTAAGGCAGGGGACGCAGGATATAGGTCCTTTTCCAATAATATAAATACACTAATAAATAGTGTTAAGAAGAAAATGTGGTACAGAGA